AAGACTAGGAGCAGAAACTTTACTGTTCATGCCTTCTCGGCATCAACCTCAGGCTCTGAACAATCAACAACACGGCCCTGGACAATTTTACTGCCTCCAGAGCCTGGGATTGAAGATTTCATTCTTGCACGAGATCACCAGACAGTTGAGCGCAGAAGTGATCTTCACACGATGGCGAGCATCCTTGAAGTCCTCAAAAAATTGATCCCAGAGCAGGGCATCAAAACCAACATGCAGGTGATAAGATGGATTCTCCAGGAGTGCACTCCTCAGGCACGCTATCATTGAAAAAATCCATGTTAACTTTACACTCCGTGCTGGTCTCAAGCCTTGAGCCAAAACCTCTGCAATTCACGTAAGCCTGCATGAGGATCAGCTCATGATTAAGAACAGGTTGCGCGCTGCCCACCACAGGGGCCCTCTTCTTCCAAGGACCTAGGGGGGGTCCCCTCCCAGAACAGCAGCAAGGCCTGGATCAACAGCCGGTCATCGCGCAGCTCTGATCGTCCGACAGCTCCGGCAACGAGAAGCCTGTCATGGACTTATACAGATTCTAGTAGACTATAGAGGTGCTTAGGGCTGTGTGCCCGCGAGAAGACGCATCGAACTCGCACTGAAAATCTTATCTTCTGAACTTCAAGGCAGTGTCTGCATGGTTTGCGACTGTCTTTACCGGCAGCTTGACGCTTATGATCATAGTCAGCATGTCTGGGAGTCGGGACGTTGCCCACCAAAAGCTGCTGTAACATCTGGAACTGTTTCATACCAGTCTAGGCAGAGATATTGGTGGATGCCTCTCCGAATATGATCACATCGTCCAGTCATTCACTGTGTCTCGGGGCAAACCCTGCACTTGCGTTCTCACTTACAGTTACCAGGGAAGGCTGCCTGGACAGCCTTAACGAGCGATGGGTTGCAGACAGGCTTGCCTAAACCAGATCTCATCTTGCCGGAGATTTTGGAGACTTCCAAGGGCACACAAAAAGAAGATGACAATTCCCCCAAAGCATCATGGGTCTGCGGGGAAGCTGGATGCGCTCAGTGCCCACCATTTTCTCTACGCGAGTATGATGCCTGCCATCGCCCGCAGTTTCACGGGAACGGGATATGTTACCAAATTTACTTCCAACCATCCTCAGTAACGCACATATCCGCTGGATCCACTTTGCAGCCTCGAGGAAAACGTGTGACTAGATGGTCGTCTCACTGACTTTCGTCAGTGTCATCGTCCTCAACTTCCTCTTCTTGGTGGCCTTCCTCTGATATCAAGCAATGCTGCGAGAATCTCAGATTGTAGCGTTAGTCTGCAGAAGGTGAACATGAGAGGCTCACGAGCAATACAGCAGTTAGTGGGTGGTCTAAACTGCTAGCAGCCAGCATGCGCAGCAAGGGTCCTCCAACGTTTTCCATCCCAAATCCCGAAGCTCTTGCTGCACGGCAGCTGGCCGAGAGCTTATCACGGAGTCTAGGACTGTGACCTTTGAGCTTCTTTGTTTCAACTGTTCTGAGGCTGAAGTGTTCGATCGAAGAGCTATGCCTAGCCGGCCTGCGCCTGCACATCCAAGCAGTCAAGTCGACGCTCGATGGCAATGCCAGATTCGTCAATTTGTCCTTCACGAAGCATTCAAGGCAGGTTCAGCCATCACTGCGCACTGCGTCAACCCGATGCCCCGCCAGAGGCGGTACTGGGAACCCTTTTGCACGCTTTGCTCTTGAGGCCGAGGCGCGGAGATCCTCGCCTGATTCCCGCAGCTCTAAGAGCTTGCTGTCTCTCCTGCGAAGCTCAAAGCCAATACGTTTCAGGTGGTTGCTGATGGCGATAGCAATCCTCGGATGGCAGGAAAAGTAGAACTCACCTGCCGCAAAAGCGCTTTCAGGTCAGGAAGCGCTTCTGAAACCAAACCGAGCATCGCTGGGCAGAATCCGAAACCAACCAGCATGGCCATCAGCACAAATAGCATGTTGCTCATGGGAGAATGCTGGCAGATGGAGACGTGCACAATTCTAGGTTTCCGAACGAACACACTCTCACTATCTGTCACTGACATCAGGGGCATCGAGGCAAGCTTGCAGCCAAGATGCTGGTGATAGTACGGCCAGATGTTCTTTGCGTGGAAGAATTCATATGCTGTCGCGGTGGAATTGAGGAAAGAGTGGACAAGAGGCTCTGGGTTGATTCTCACTAGTCCTGGACAAGTTAGCGCACCTGCATCAACAATCCAGCGGATCAATGAGTAGAATCGCAACACTGAGTACAATGCTGCCTCGAAGTTTGCCACGAGGGTTGCCAGAGGGTTGACATTTGTGCCATAAATGTAGTAGGAGCCAATATGTTGAAGAACGATATCGATGTCATATTTCTCGTGGACAAGGTCGGAAAACTCGAGTCGGCGTATGGCCTCCCAACAAGAGCTGCCGTCCAAACAAATCAGCATGAACGGCTCTTCAAAACCGGTAGTCTCGGCTTCCCTGTTGCATTTGTTTACAGTCACTACACCGTTTGCGCAGGCGGTTTTCCAGCACAGTGCTTCTCACATGACAGTGAGTGAACAAAAATCGTACAGAAAGTCTCTCCAGTCGCTTTGAAACGCTTCCCAGGACTCAGGAAGGCTCTCTTGACTTATCGAACCTCACCCTCAAAAGTGGAACGTTTCAAGATGTAATATCGAGTCCAGTCAACCCCTCAATGAAAGAGGTTTCCGCAAAAACTCTTGCACATTTTTTTTCTGATGGTTGGGGGCTGCATTTTGAAATTAAGGCTGCGCACCTGAAGACCTTGGAAGCAGTCAGCCGAAGCCGGAGCGTTTTGATCTGTCAGGGGAACCAAGCATGGTTTGCCCAATCCCTCGCCCCCCCCCCCCTTCCCCCTTCTCCCTCCCTCTAACACTGACTGCTCAATCCCGGCCACCCTTGCCGATGCGGTCCTCGCGAATACCAATGAGGTCATCGAACTTGTGGAGACCGGGCTGGTTCCATGTGTTCCATGAGATAGTCCCCTCAAAGGCTGCCAACTACAGCGCCAGCACTGCTTAAGAAAGCATTGGCTAAGAAATTGAGAGCTCTGGATTTTGGAAAATATGTGTTTTGGCGCTAAGAAATTGAGGGGCCTCCGGTTTCCAGGCTCAATTTCTTAATTTGGATGTTCCTGCCGCCTCTCAATTTCTTGATTCGTGGTCTGGGGCTCGCAATTTCTTAAGGGTCTGGGGCTCGAAAAACTGTGATACTCCTTATTAAGAAGAGTTCAATTTCTTAACTTGGGGTCGGGCCCTCAATTTCTGAACTCAAGCAGCTGACCGAAGGGAGGTCTCGGCAAGAAACAGCTAAGAAACTGAGAGACCTCTGAACTATAAACTTCACCTGAAATTCGGCATTTTTGGAAGATCAGAACAGATCGGTAACCTAGATTGTTACACCTTGAGACATGTTTGGCATGCTGGAACAAGATGATCATGATGATGATCATCGTCATGTCATGATGATGTGTAAACTATTGCACCTTTTGCTTTCAAATCAGGAGATCTTCGGGTTTCCAGGTTCCTACATGGACAGTGCTTAGTGGGATCCATGTGCGTATGGTGTCGGCGTTCCTTTCCGTGATCTGTAAGCTATATGACCATGCATGCCTTTAATGATCAGAAACAGCAAGAACGAAAAATTGTTGCTAATCTTCAATCTTCAGCTGAGATCCGTCGAGATGGTGGCTTGCGCTTTTGACAGGTGTGGACTTGCAAATGCGCTGTTCCTCTGACGTTGCAAGCTGGAAGCCTTTGCAGCCAGATGTGCTGTTGAACACCTGTACAATCCCATCGGAGGGGAAACTTTTTTTCTGTTCACGAAGCAGTCCGCTCCTCAGGTGTCAGCAGTGGCAGCTATGACAAGGTCTGGATCACACACTTCATCCCAGGGGTCTGGAACGATTGGTTGGCACAGCATAGTCTTCTTTACCATGGTATGGAACGGAAGGGTCTGGAACGGAATTCGGGGACTTGTTCCAGTCCGTTTCTGCTTGTTCCGGAATAATTCCCCAACAGCGGATACGC